TTTGCTTTTGTTTGTTTGTTTGAGATGGAGACTTGCTCTGTTGCCTAGGCTGGAGTACAGTGGCACTATCTCGGCTCACGGCAAGTTCCGCCTCCCGGGTTCAAGCGATTCTCCTGCCTCAGCCTCCCTAGTAGCTGGGACTAACAGGTGTGCGCCACCACGCCCGGCTAATTTTTTGTATTTTTAGTAGAGACGGGGTTTCGCTTTGTTAGCTAGGATGGTCTCGATCTTGTAGCCTCATGATCTGTCAGCCTTGGCCTCCCAAAGTGCTGGGATTACGGGTGTGAGCCACCGTGCCTGGCCTCTACTTTTCAATTTATTTTATTTCTTGTAGAGATAGGGTCTCACCATATTGCCCAGGCTGGTCCTGAACTCCAGGGCTCAAGTGATCCTCCCTCCTCGGCCTCCCAAAGTCCCGGGATTACAGGGGTGCACCACTGTGCCCGGCCAAGGTTCACCTTTTGAGCAGCTGTTGTCATTGGTCATTCCCCCTTTCTCCTGCAGACCTGCCAATGCCCCAGGCCGTGGAGCCCCAGGCCATTGTGCAGTGGGCACCAGCCGCCAGTCGAATGCAGATGCCGCAGGGGAACCCACTGCTGCTGTCCCACAGCCTGCAGGAGCTGCTGGCCAGGGACACTGTGCAGGTGGAGCTCATTCCGGAGAAGAAGGGCCTCTTCCTGAAGCATGTGGAATATGAAGTTTCCAGCCAGGTAACTGGCAAATCATGCGTGTGCCGGGGGAGGAGGGGACGAAAGGGTCACATCTCAAAACCTCCAGGCAGGGGCGGTGCCACAGAAGAAGGCTGAAGGGTGAGTCTGTGCGCCTGGCTTACAGGTGAGATCCAGAACTTGCAGCAGAGTCAGGCTGCGGAGCAGACTTTTCCACGCATCTGCTCCCTGCACCTCGCTCTGGCCCAGCCACATCCCCACCTGGCCCAGTTCGTCCTCCCCACCACTCTGCTCTGGAGTCCTGTTTCTTAGGAATCTCCTGCGGATGGTCTGCAGAGCACAAAGCAGGATCCACACTAGCTTAGCTTTGTAATACTGGGGAACCCCTGAGGATTTGAATGTCAGCCCCATCCAATACGGACCCCAAACAGTGAATCAAATTTGTGTAGCGGGATCAATATGTGTCACTCTAATCCCCTTTAATAACATGGCCCTCCTCTTGCTGGGTACTCCCATATTGGGCAAATCAGACGCAGACACTGAATGCCTGATGCCTGTCTGGCGTCAGAATCGTGGCTCTCTCTGTCCTTTGCTTATTATCTCAGTTCCATTAGGACAGATTGTGGTAAGAGTTTTCATTGTTCGTCCTGGGCATTGAGTAACTGATGAGGCAACACTGTCCTTGGGAGCTGCGGAGTCAGCAGGGATTGGGGGATTCGCACAGAGCAGAGCCCACTCCCGTGTGGGAGAGGGTGGCCCCAGCCCAGCTCCAGCCGGACAGCACTACCAGGGGTTTGTTTGAAAAGCGTCATGAGCAAATGGTCCTGGGTAAAAGGTGTGTCTTTTTGTTTGTTTGTGTTTATTTTTATTTATTTATTTTTTGAGACAGTGTCTCACTCTGTTGCCCAGGCTGGAGTACAGTGGTACAATCTCGGCTCACTGCAACCTCCACCTCCGGGTTCAAGCAGTTCTTCTGCTTCAGCTTCCCATGTAGCTGGGATTACAGGCATGTGCAACCATGCCTGGCTAATTTTTGTAATTTTAGTAGAGATGGGGTTTGACCATATTGGTCAGGCTGGTCTTGAACTCCTGACCTTGTCATCTGTCTACTTCGGTCTCCCAAAGTCCTGGAAGTATAGGCAAGAGGCACTGTGCCCAGCTGTTTGTTTTTAAACAGACAGAGTCTTGCTCTGTTGCTCAGCCTGGAGTGCTGTAGCACAATCATAGCTCACTGTAGCCTCAACCTCCTGGGCTCAGACAATCCTCCCACCTCAGTCTCCTAAGTAGCTGGAACCACAGGTATATGCCACCACACCCAGTGAATTTTTATATTTTTTGTAGAGATGGGATCTTGTTATGTTGTCCAGGCTGGTCTTGAATTCCTGGGCTCAGGCAGTCCTCCCACCTTGGCTTCCCAAAGTGCTGGGATTACAGGAAATAGCCACCATGTCCAAACTTGCTTTTTTTTTTTTTTAATTACAAACAGAGGCTTGCTATGTTGTCTTAGCTGGTCTCGAGCTCCTGGCTCAAGCATTCCTCTCACATTGGCCTGCCAAAGTGCTGGGCTCACAAGCATGAGCCTCCGTACCTGGCCTTAAGGACGAGCGAGCAGGTCTCCCTTCCCTGCCATCTGCTCTGCTCTGCCTCATTGTGTTTGAGAGCCTGTGGCCACACGTTTCCAATGGTTGTCTGCTGCTAG